GGTTCCTCTGGTTTTACTGGTTTTACTGGTTATAGTGACTTAAAGGTGAAAAGCTTCTGAGCTCTGCATTTTCCACAGCAGAGGCCCGAAGCTTTAACTCCGCCCCTCTAAAGTCAGCTGACCTGAAGGCGCCATGTGGGAGGAGCCTGTGCCCAGTGATGACATCATACTGAACTCCTCTTCCTCCTCTTCCTCCTCTTCCTCTCTGCTCCGTAGCCTTTCTGCTCTTGCTGTCTTCTGGAAATCAACCAGCAGGTGGTGCTGTTTAGGAATGAACCAGCAGATGATCCGGGTGTGTTCAGGTGCGCCCCCTGTTCACCTCACCTTCAACTGCAGCCGACGGTCCTCCAATTTCTTCTTCTCCTGTGTAAACCTCTCTGTAAATGACAAGCAGGTCCTTTAAGCCCAGCCCTGACGCACCTGACCTGGTCTCACCTGGACACTCACCTGCAAGCCGTAGCGCCTCCTGCAGGTTGCTCTGCGTCTCTCTGAGCTGCTGCAGCACTTCCAGGCTCTGCTGCACCGGGTCTCTGTAGCGAACACACACCAGCAGCAGAACACACAGGGCAACACACACCGAGAGGCGCCGCAGCGCAGCAATGTACGCTGAGACCAGCTCCTGTACACAACGGCTTCTGAATTACTCACTGAAACATGCAATGTTACGACTTTACCTACCGAAACACGCAATGTTACGACTTTAGTTTTTGTCTTATAACTACGACTCTTGTACTTCAATATTCTTTATTGTTGCGACTAATTTTTATTACCATTTTTGTATTATTACGATTTTATTCTTGTATCATGACTGTCATTCATTTTGTCTTGACGTTGTCCAGGAAGCTTTTTCAGCCAATAATCTTCTGAACAGGGATGTGGTCATGTGACCTGATTATTTTCTTGAGCAGCACAGGAAGTGATTGGTGGCATCTTGGTGATTAATTTATTTATTGCTTCTGGTATTAATTTTTCCAGAGAACCTGAACACATCATCTTATGTTGTGATTAAACTGGGTCACTTCCTGTTTTTGTTGGTCAATCTGGACGCTGGACAAAACAACCAGTTATTTCCCAAAGACCCCCCCTGCCCTAAGCCCCGCCCCCAGGTGAGTCTACCAACCATATGAAGGTGTTCTGGTTGGTCGGAGCTCAGCACATGCTGGTAGATCTTCTTCTCCAAGTAGAAGTTGACGCAGACCAAGGCCAGCAGCAGCAGCCTGGACCCAGGGGAGGAGAGGTCACTCAGAGGTCACCTGTTCTGGTTTTCAAGGCTCTACAGAATTCTCTGGATCTTAAATCCAAGCTGCAGCTTTACTAGTAAACGGTGCAGCTGCTCCTCCTGCTGGTGGAAGCTGGAACTGCCAATGTAGAAGCAAACATGCAGGAGCAGGTAACAGGTAAAAGGAAGGGGGGGAGCTACCTGGCACTGGAGGAGCGAGGGGTGGAAGTGATGAGGTAGGAGGTGCAGAGCGCGGCTGCGTTGTAGCAGCAGGAAGTCAGGCTGTGAGCCTCCATCAGCAGGAAGCCCTGCAGGAAGGAGAGCCGCTGGAAGAGATGCGACAGCGCCACCTGCTGCTGCCTGGAGGCGCTGCTGAGGTCAGAGAAGACCGCCTGCACACCTGGAGGGATTGGAGAGGGAGCAGGGGACAGGTGAGACAGGGGGGGACAATCAGCAAACTGAGATGCATCAGAATGATTCCTTGACCGACTGAATGACCGCTGAACAAAACGAGATCTTTACCCAGACTTTAGTCTGGGTAAAGTGTCTTACCCTGAGGAGTCTCTCAGGGTGGCTCGTAGATCCTCTCCATTGGACAGGATTTCTTTCTGTGCCTTTAAGGCGACACTCTGGGCTTCCATCAGCTCGTTGGCCATCTGTCTGGTGGACTGAAGCTGATCAGCAACACCTGCTGAGGCCTCCGTCAGCCTCAACACAAGTTAATGTAGCAGATTAGCGGCATGTTGAGTTAGCATAATGCTAACAGTGTGGGAGCAGGTCAGAGGTCAGCAGAAACAAAGAGAGCTGAATGAGCCTGAATGTTGGTGAATGTCTGCACCAGGCCGACGTCAATGTTTCCTATCAATAATCATTTATTATGTGATCAGAGATGATCCAGAGGAAACCAGACAATAACTATTATTCATAAATCAAAATGTTAATACTTCTGTATTTTCACTCCACAATAAATGTTTTAGCTTAGAAACAACGTGATCATTGTTGTTTTTATTTTGGTTTGTAAAACTGGCAGAAAACTTGTTTTAAAATGATGATCAACATTTTCAACTCTTTTTTTTCAAAACTACATTTAAAAGAAATTGTTATTTTTTTATGTTGCATATATTAATTTTGTTATCTAAATAGAAAGAAATAAAAAGTTAGTAAAAATATGCAAAACCTGGTTAAAACCGACAGGGTTAAGAAAAGTTCCTGCTGCTCACCTGTGCATGGTGCTTTCTGCGCGGCTCTGCCAGGCCTCCGCCTGCAGGAAGTGGCAGATGGAGTGGGTGTGGGTAAAGAACTCAGTGTAGGTGTTGAAGGCCACGGGATCCATCCCAGCAGTACACCTGCTGACCTCTGACCCTCAGGGCAGGATGGGAAATCCCTGCCTGAGCTGAAGAGAAACAGGTTGAAAGGCAGATCTGAGTTGTAGTAAACAGAACGGTCACAAGGTGGCAGCACTCTCTGACAACTCATCAGCTCAGTTCAAACAAAAACAAAAAAGACAAATTAACATCAAGAAAGAGAAAATAAAAGCCCAACAGGAAGTCATAATTATGAGACAAAGTCATCCTGTGACTTTAAAACTCAAAATCATGACTTTCTGATGGCTTTTATTTTTCCTTTCCTGGTGGAAACATAAAAACTTTAAAATGTAATTTCAGGATAAAATGTAGAACCTTTAGAAAACAACATTATGGTTTCCAAAGTGTGGTGTGGGGGCCAGCTGTGGCCCCTGGCATGATTCTGTGTGGCCATTGACTGCAGAGCAACAATGGTACCAACTGGACCCGTGAGCAAAGGAGACAGAGAGTTTCATTACCAAAATAAAAGCATATTATGAAGGAAAATGTATCATTTTAGGTTTTGATTTCTTACCTGGATCAGAACCAGGAACCCAAATCCTGGTTCTGGTTCAGACCTACTGCAGGAAACACGGCGACACCGGAACCGCTTCGGTCTGGTTTCACTGAACTGCAAATGTTTCCTTCATTTACCTCAAATCTTCATTTTCAGCTTTTTTTTTTTTTTTTTTTTTAAACAACAAATTATTTTACATAAAAAAGGAAAATATTAAAATATTTCATCTTTGGACAGAACAGGTGAGTCCAGAACTATAGTGACGTCATAGTTTAATAACCTTCACGTGACGATGTCGTCACATCCCAGAAAAGCCACGTTTTCACATCAGAACCGCGCGGTTCTGACCAGAGTCCAACAGAACCGGACTCTGGGTCTGTTTCTCTGCTGCAGCGCAGTGAACAGAACCACTAGGTTCTGTTCTGGTTCTGAAGAATCCAGTGCGGCCGGTTCTCCCTCCCGGTTCCGACCAGCTGCTCACCTGCTCAGGTGACAGTGGGTGAAGTGCAGCGCCAGGCGGCTCTGACTGTGACGTCATCTCCCTGCAGCGCGTCCAGCTGTTCCAGCGCGCGCGCCCAACACCCGCCGTACTGCGGCTGCGCGGCGAGGCTCTGGATCCGCCGCAGCGCCATCCTCCCGCGCTCAAGGTCCGGAACCCGAACCGGAACCGGGTCCGAGGATGAGGGATCCGCACAGCAGCAGCAGCGACGCGGCCGCATACTCCATCCTCACCTGCCTTCAGCTCAGCCAATCAGAGAGCCGCGTTTTCACCTGCTCAGGTCACGAGGGCCGTGACCTTTTGAGGGTCATTAACGGCTCCGTCAACAGGTGCTGAGCGGAACCACGTGACCTGACAGGAGCTGCGCTCCTCTGATTGGAGGAATAATGAAACACGAAGTTGGATCAATAAAAAAAAAATATGATTCATGATTTGATTGTTCAGGCTGCAGCAGGAAGATGTGACGTGTCACCATTTTTACTCATGTTTATTCATGAATCCTGCATATTAATTTCTGCCTTGTTATTAAAAAACATTGGGCTCTGACCGCCAACCTTTAGACCTGCAGGTTTCTGTCTGATTTACGGCTGAATTCTGATGACGTCACGCATTTCAGCCGATATGCAGCTGAGACTCAACCGGACCAGAGGATTCAGTCTGGCCCAGACTGACCCAGTCTGGGCCAGACTGACCCAGTCTGGCCCAGACTGACCCAGTCTGGCCCAGACTGACCCAGTCTGGCCCAGACTGACCCAGTCTGGCCCAGACTGACCCAGTCTGACCCAGTCTGGCCCAGACTGACCCAGTCTGGTCGTCCTGCTGTGGATCTGGATCAATATTTTAATGAACTTTATCCTTGTTTATTATCCTTCAGCTTGATGGGGTCATAACATGCTGATAAAAGGCAGCACAGCCATTTAATAACCTCTGAATAATCCAAAGCTGAGAGAATTTTATCACATCAGATCTTTGCTTGAAACCAGGCGTCTCAAACTCCAGTCCTGGTGGCCCTGGGCCCCTGCAACATTTAGATGAGCCTCTGCTGCATCTGAACAGAATACTGAGACATTCAGGCTCTGGGGATCTGATCTACACCAGGTGGAGGTAATTAAGCCATTTCATTCCAGGGTTTTGTGCCTGGAGTCAGACTGCTGGTTAAAAGCCCTTTCATTTCTTATGCAGTTTCTCAGAATCACCAGCAGAGGGCAGTGGTTTAATCTCCAGCTCTTGTTCAGCCCAGTTTCCTTGTTTCGCTGCTATGAGATATCCTCCATCATTCTAATAAAATAATGATAAATCCTAATAATACCTTCATCCTGCATAAATGTGATTAATATTGAAAGCCTGAAAGATGCAGCAGGATGAAGCTCAGTGGGTTCTGGATCAGACCGGTGAGGAAGAGTCAAACACAGAGACCAGGCATGACAGGGACAACAAATGGTTTTAGTTAGAAAAAAAAAATAAGAAAACAGGTAAAAACTAGTTCTTCTACAGCGACGGTGTTTTCTGGAGTTTCACTGAATTCCAACCAGAGTAAAAGCAGAATATTCATCCTCAATATTAGCAACTATGAAGTCACCACACACATTACTACTAAGGTCTAGAAACAACATGGCTCGGCTGACATGGTGGCTCCTGGCAAGACACACAATATTTTATTATTATTAATATAGGCACTAAACTCTGGAACATGCAATATGGTGGCTGGTTACTGCAGATTGTGCTGGGTCGAGTCGGTGGAGCGGGTCCAATCAGAGAGGAACGTTTCTGCGGTGGCGAGCAGCTGATGGGTTCACTGCTCTGAGCAGGCGGCGGCGCGTACGCAGAGGCCGGGCTACGCTAAACGGAGCCGGGTTACTGGATCCAGAACCAAGAGACACTGGGAGCTTCAGGTCAGAGTCACAGAACCCTAACAGGAAGCTCCAGCAGGTCACAGTTCATCTTCCTGAAGACGTGTTGGTTTCTGCGTGATGACTCTACAGCATGACCCCTCAGAGACTCTGAAGGCCCTCACACTTCAAGAGCCAAAGTCAGCTCTCACTGACGCAGACGCCATCTTGTTTGCAAAGATGTCTACCTCCTTCTCAACGCCAGGTCGAACTACTTTCACAGAGCTCTGTGGTCAGACGTTTATTCAGACAGAAATGTTGATATTTTGCTTCAACTAGTCCACTTCCACTGCCCAGTTTACATTTCTACATGATTACTTTAGAGGGACGCTTATGTGACGCGATGGGGAATTACATCATGCAAATTGAAAGCCAACTTAGGAAATGTCGCAACAAAGAAGAAAAACAAATTAGCCCTGAATCATTGAGCCCATAGCAGACGCGCTCAAGTCCGGTCCTCCAGGGCCGGCCTGCAGCTCTCAGACGCTTCCCTGCTCCAGCACCGCTGAACCCAAAGTCTGGCTGGTTACCAGGCCTGTTCAGAGCCGATCCGGTCCGTCCGAGTCAGGATAAGAGTTGCAGGACGGAAGCTCTGGAGGACGGGACTTGAGTTACACAAAGAGTCATGGCGTGAATGAGCAGGAAGTAGAGCTTATAAACTAGCATGGACCAAAACCTTTGTGCTGGAGGTCTGGACTTTTGAATTTCTCCAGGTTTCGTTCCTCTGGTAAAACACGGACCGGACTGCTTGTTGCCTCCATCTCTCCTTCAGCGCATTAACCGTTTTTTGGAAGAGCCAAAAATCACCTCACACAAGCGTAAAAAGTTGTTTGTGAAATCGAGGAAGTTATTTTGAATGTTACCATTTCCATCAACCTTTTCTAACGCAACACTTCAAAACAGGCATGAAAAACCCTGGATGGAACCGCAGCGGCATCTCGCAATGTCTGCTTCCAGTCGGTCCTGGTGAACCGGGTGCAGCTGGAGTAACAGCAACAGAGATGATTGAACTGAAGGTGTTGCTGGATGTCCTTAGTGGTGAGATTGGGCTGTTGGTCAGACACTAAACGACCACAGAGCAAGAACTAGCCAAACATTTCCTTCTGATACTGTCTGCGGTTTCGTTAAGAACGCCTGAAACACCACATGGATTCAGCGGTAAAGCTGGCAAGGAATCTCAGTGTAATGAGTGGCTGCGTCATCAGCAACAGGAACTGATCAAACCATTTCATGGTGACTGCAGCTCAGAAAGCATCCTGACGCCTCTTAACTGAGACTCTCAGATCCGTCCTCTCTGCACAGCCGGATCCAACAGAACCACCTTTCCTGGTTAGACCTGGACCATGAACCTGAGCCACATTGGCCTCTGCAAACGCCGGCCCCGGTTGAAGGCCTGCAGGGTCTCTGAGCGACATGCAGGGGCTTGATTGTATAAAGTTGAGATGTGCAAACTGTTCCAGACATCTGACGTAAAGACACATTTAGAATGGGTCCTTTCCCACACATTCATTATCAAAAGAACTCAAATAAAGCTACTGTAGGCATGGGTTTGGTTTGATATCAAAAGTGCTTACGGTAGAAACAAAATTTGAGAGAAACATACAAGTTCATGAAGACCAGTTTAGGAAAAATCCTGGAAGAACTGGCTGAACTGGAAATGTTGAAACACCAATGAGCAGCTTTTCTTATCAGCCGGATTCATCAGATCCTGAATGAGCTGAGAAGAACCATGAACTCCTCAAGCGGTTCAAATCCCTCTGAACCAGGCCGTCAGACTCGGGGTTCCAGCTTGTTCCAGATTCTGAGGAAAACTGGAAGAGGACTGAGAACTTTAACACTTTTGATCTCAGGCAAAATGGCGAGAGGCAAGAGTGAGCGCAAGAACTGAGAACACTAAAAGAAAGCCTCTGCTTTTTAGGTTTCATGGAAAACCTTGAAAAATAAAGATGAGACATTTTAAGAAACCAATTTAAGGTGCAAACGCCACATTGCCTCGTAGACAGACTTCAGTCAAGGACTGGTTTGAGGAAAGGACTCTCAGTCACCGTGGGCCATGTTAGAGTCAGGGCTGTTGGTAATATTACTTCTTAAAGCTGTATAACAAAGACAAACAATCAACTACTAAATAAAAAACAGATTATATTCCGGAAGCAACATTTTATCAGAGTAATGTGTTGTTTAGCGACGGTTTTTCGTTCCAAACTACTCCCCACCTCCATATGGAGACTAACAGGATGCAACAGCTGCCTTTAGATTATATACACACACACTTTTTCCTTTTCGTTTGTTTTGTTCTAGAAAAAGACTCTATTCGTTCCCCAGCGCCAAACCAGCTGTACCTTCTACAACTTCACAAAGTCTCCAGACAGAATCAACAGTAGAAGCTGAGACAGTTCTTCCAGCTCCTGTTTGAAAACAGAGTGAGGTCCATACAGCTCCATGAACAGCACGGCCATAGTCCTCCGTCTGGGGTTGACTCGTCTATAAGGTCACCAATCTGCTTGCCTTCCACTGACCAACCAATCAGCTGACTCTTTCACTGACAGCAGTTCGTGACTCTACGGTTTCCTCACAGCTGGGACGGGAACGGTGGACTGTGGGACAATGTCTCTGAGCTCCTTGCTGTCACCTGCTGCCTCTGGCTCCACCCTCAGTCGAGCCCTACCGTCTGCTCCAGGCACAAGACTGGACCCTGCTACTCCAGGAGGTCCAGGTGGCACAGAGCTGGAAGGTCTTGATGTGCTGTTTGAGCCTCTTTCACCTCCTAAAGCTTCTCTGGTATCTGATCCTGAGAGCAGCTCTCTCTCTTCCCTCCATCCTGATGTCCTCCATGCTGACGTCTCTTCTTGGGAACTGGCTCTCTTGGGTAGGCTTGGTGCTCAGGTCCTGAGGCTGTTCACTCTGGTTCCGCTGAGCAGGAATGGGATTGGGATGGACGTGGCTGGATGATGAGGGTCTGTGAGAAACAAGGTTCTGCGCATGTAGCCTTGTGTGTTGAGAGAGGACTGGGGATGCAACTGGGTTTGAAAGCTTTGAAAGTGTGGATGTGTTTGGGATTGGGGAATGGGTGGCCTAGGCTGGGTGGGAGATTGACTGGGTGGGGCTCTATGTGGATTTGGGACATGGTGTTGCAAGGTCTGTCTCATACGTGTTTGAGGCAGCATCTGAAGGCCAGATTGCAAGTGAGGATCAGGTTGAGCTGGAACCCTTGTCTGCAGCTGGCTTTGATTTTGTGTTGGGACCCTGGTCTGTGGTGGACTCTGAAGATGTCCTGAAGTTCTTGCCTGGGGTTCACTCTGAAGTTGAACTGGCCCCTGGTCTGTGGTTGACTCTGGACTTGTGTTGGTGTCTTGGTCTGGGGTTGACTCTGGACTTGTGTTGGTGTCTTGGACTGGGGTTGACTCTGGACTTGTGTTGGTGTCCTAGTCTGTGGTTGACTCTGGACTTGTGTTGGTGTCCTAGTCTGTGGTTGACTCTGGACTTGTGTTGGTGTCCTAGTCTGTGGGTGACTCTGGACTTGTGTTGGTGTCTTGGTCTGTGGTTGACTCTGGACTTGTGTTGGTGTCCTAGTCTGTGGTTGACTCTGGACTTGTGTTGGTGTCTTGGACTGGGGTTGACTCTGGACTTGTGTTGGTGTCTTGGACTGGGGTTGACTCTGGACTTGTGTTGGTGTCCTAGTCTGTGGTTGACTCTGGAGTTGTGTTGGTGTCCTAGTCTGTGGTTGACTCTGGAGTTGTGTTGGTGTCTTGGACTGGGTTGACTCTGGACTTGTGTTGGTGTCCTAGTCTGTGGTTGACTCTGGACTTGTGTTGGTGTCCTAGTCTGTGGTTGATTCTGGACTTGTGTTGGTGTCCTAGTCTGTGGTTGACTCTGGACTTGTGTTGGTGTCCTAGTCTGTGGTTGACTCTGGACTTGTGTTGGTGTCTTGGTCTGTGGTTGACTCTGGATTTGTATTGGTATCCTAGTCTGACGTAAACTCTGAATTTGTGTTGGAGGCCTGGACTGGTGTTGACTTGAATCTGTGTAGGTAATCTGTCTTGGGATTGAGCCTGTGGTTGCGTCTCAATTCTTGCCTGTGATTGAGGCTGAATTTTGAGTGGTGTCTTGGTTTGGGACTGTGACTGAGATTGTGTTTGAATTCTTGGCTGAGGTTGGAGTTGGGGCTGAACTGAGGTCTGAGGGTGGGATTGTTTAATCTGGGATTGGATATGAGGCAAATGTCTTGGCTGAATCTGAGGCTGGAGTGCTGTGGAGGACTGGACCTGTGATTGTGAATGCCTAGTTTTGAGATGGCTGAGCATGCAGCACAGGTGGGGACTTAGGTGGATCAGTCTGATGGTGGCTTTGGTGCTGGGCTGTGGAGTGACTGGGCTGACTGGTTGGTAGACAATGGGTGACCGAGGGTTTGGATTTGGGGCTGTAGGGACCGAGTCTCAGGCAGTAAATGTCTGGTGGAGGATGACTGGGATACTTGCAGAATATGGGCTTGTGATGGACTGGGTAATGAAGTATGAGGACAGGAATGGGGTTGGTGGTGTGGTGGAGAAACAGGTTGTAAAGATTCAGGAGGGGGCTGAGGCACAGACTTTTGGTGTGGTTTGGGGGGAACCTTTTTTTCAGGGGTTTGATGAGGCACAGTCTGGGGATCAGCTTCCGGCCTGGGTTGGCTAGGAGGAGACTCAGAAAGTGTCAGAGGAGGAGCTGGGTGATCTAATGGTGAGCCAGAGGACTGTTGGTGGCGATGATGATGGTGGTGGTGATGATGGTGTTTATGAGGTTGTCGTTCCTTCCTTTTGTGGCTTTTTGAAGGGATGATGCTACTACTGCTGCTACTCTTTCCACCCCCTCCTTCATCTTCACCAACATCCTTGCCTTTGCTTCCTTCATCTCCAGATTCTCTTTTTTCCTTGTGCTTCTGGCACTTATGTGACTTGTGTCCATGGGGTTGGCTCTCGTCTGAAGCAGAAGGTTGCTTCTCTGACTGGCTTCCTAAAGTAGATGTAGGCTTTGGGTCTGAGCTCGGACCTCCCTCCGCCTTTCCTCCCTTTTCCTGTGCTGCACCGGTGCTTCCAGGCTCAGCAGGTGTAACCAGTGGAGCTTGAACACTCTCCATCTCTTCCACAGTTTCTCTTGTTTTGCGCTTTTGATTGGCAGAGCCGTTTCCTGAACAACAGGTTTAATGGAAGACTCCTTAGCCGCTCTCCGTTTGGCTTCAGCCACCATAATGGCAGCTGCGGTGTAGCTTCCAGCTGTTGAGCTACCAGAGGCTGTGGTTGAAGACGTGGATGCAGCAGTGACTGTTGATGGTGCAGAGGTTGATCCTGGTTTCCTTCCTCGTTTTTTGGGAGCAGCCTTGGGTGGAGGTGGAAGTTCCTGTTCTGATTTTCTCTTTCTGCCTGGCCGGGACTTGGGCACTGCGGTAGGAGACACCACCTGCAGAGGAAAAACCAGATCAGCAGAAGCACGAGTTATGATTGTGGTCACAGACACAGTTGCACAGGGTGAATTTACAACTCAACCTTTAAAGCTGCGAGTTTTATCTTCAATATAAAAATGTCCAGGTGAGGGACTGAACAACCGTCATACCTTTGATGGGGTTGCAGAGGAGGACTCAGCCTTGCCAAAAGGCATTTTAACCAGCAGTTTTCCTGGAGTTTTCTCAACAACTCGCTTCATGGCCACACCCTCAGTGGCCTGACGCATTTTTCCACTGCCTACACAAATACAAGAGATGAACACAGAAGAACCACTTATGAAAAGCTGTTCTTGATTTAATGACTCATCTGCAACTTCTGCTATCCCGGCATGTGTACCTTTGGGCCGCCCTCGGCCTCGTCCTGATGGTTTCACCGCTTTTGGTTTTTGGGAGGGCGCTTTTCACGACGGGATGGGCTTCCGCGCCCCGTGACAGTAAAATCAAAATCATTGGGATCGGTCTGCTTGTCACCAATCTTCTCAAAGTAGGCAATGAGTTCCACCTTTGACCGAAATGCCTTTCCCTCCGAGCTTTACAGAGCAAAAACAGCTAAATGTTAATGGCATTCATTTGAGACTGTATTCTTAAGCACCAAAGGGAACCGTCATCATGTTGATCATGACTTACTTGATCAGGTAGACATCAAACTTCCCCGCAGAGCGTCCAGACTTTCTCTGCTTCAGTTTCCGGGTCCAGCCTTCAGGCAGCGACGGGTCATCGTACATCGGCCCTCGGTCTCGAATGACGGAGCGCCGTTGCCTGGGAGAGCCTGCAGACTCGGACCCTTGGTCTGAGGGACCCGCCACTGGTTTGCCACCTAAATGGTGGAAGGACAAATAAACATTTCTGCACATCATTCTGGCTGTTACCTCTCCAACTCTCCATGTGTTCTATACCTGGCTCTGTGGCTCCACCCCCACCTGTGGCTGCTCACTAACTGCTGAAGGGGTGGTTGAGGCCGCGCACTCGGCCCCCTGGTCACCATGACGGCGCTCCCTGCGTGGCTTCTTTGTCTTACTGTGTGACCTGTCTCTCTGTCTGGCTGAGGGTTGGGGGTCTCCCTCCTCACCTTCTTGTCCCTCCCTGGGAAAAATATGACCCTGTTAATGTTGCATCTCTCAATCACAGCAAACTGTCCATCAGCAACTGGAGTACAAGTCTTCATGTGCAGCACTGGCAGCTTTACCAGCTAGTGCTAACTGAAAGTGTTTGCTGAGAGTTTTACTGTCCGATAAGTGACATGACCATGACGGTCCCCCTGCCTGTGGACCGCAGCGTTACGCCTCAGAGCCGGTGGCGTTATTAGTGTTAGTTTCTCTACTTTTCTGCTGAGTTTAGATAGAAAACTTTAGAACCAATTTGAATAATGAGCTGAATTTGATGTTCTACTATTGTATGTAGCAGGGATGCTTTTGTTTAAATGTTGCTAGGCAACATTTGGTTTAAACTTGGGATATAAAAATAAACTGAAGTGAGTGGATGGAAACCTCTGAATATTAAGAAAAACTGATTTCTGTCATTATTCTGACATCAGACAGAAATATTGTTTTTAATCCTGACAGGAAGGATCATCCGATCAGTGATCGGCTGGTTGAGTCTTTCCGTTTCTAAACACATCCGTCATCAGCTTCTGTCTGACTTTAATTATTAATCAGATAAACAGATGCGTCTGTGCAGTGATCAGTTTTACATCGCGATTGCTTCAAATTAAAGTTCTACGGATCTGTTCCTTCAGAATGCGCCGGACCGGACCGGACCGGGAGGAGAGGAGAACCGGACCAACTATGCAAATAATAAAGGAAAACTAGACGATATTTAAACACTTTGTCATGAGAGGCACACGGCTGGAAGCTTCCTCTCAACTGATCCGAAGTGATCTGCTTCTGATCAGTTGATCTTTGAGAGATCAACTGATCAGAACCAGATCTGGAAGCAGGTTCTACAGGCGATTAACATTTTAAAAGGAGTTTGACGGTTTGACAATGAAAGTCTGACAGCTTTAACCAGAAACAATGATGTGAATGAAAGTTGTTTCTCAATCTTTTATTAAGGGTCCAAACCTGGTTCTGTGCGGAAAGTAATCACACCCTGACCCAGATTCCCACGGCTGAGTCTCACAACTTTGACCCGCTTTGCTTTGGACGTCATGCAGGTTCAGAAGCAGCACAGCAGCCCACAGCATCACACTACCTCTGCCGTGTTCGATGTTCTGGTTTTCCTCTAGACGGAACCGGACCCACATCCGGTCCGCCTCAGCCTCATCGGCCCACAGAACATTTCCCCACAGGGTTCCTGACCTCTGACCTCAGCTGAGGCCGTGGTTCTGGTGGGTCATTCTGCTTCAAGCGTGGGTACTGGTTCTGAGCCGGTTCTGTTGTTCTTAGGAAGCTTTAACCAGTAGAATGAGCTGGACCGGGCCGCTCCAGAACCGGGATGTTTGTGATTGGACGGGTAAACCAGGTTCGGTTCTGACCCGGTTTTGTCTGACTGATCCGAACTCTGCTTGTTGTTTGCCGTTGTAGGTTGAAACAGGAAGTGAGCAGCTCACACATTGAAACCACAGACGGACACGCGCGCCCGTGTCTGCGCACGCTCCTGCTCAGCGGCACTCCGGCAGCGGCTATCTGCCTGCTAGCGGAGGAACCGGGGGCGTGGGGCAGTTAACCCGAGTTATTCTGGGGCGCGTGCGTGTGCGCGCGCTCGCCAGCAGCTAGCCCGTTAGCTGTGACGGAGCGGCAGCCCTGCAGCCGCCGCGCTCCTCCCCGGCCTGCGCGGCTCCTCCCGGGCAGCGCGAAGCCCGCCGCGGACCTACGGAGCTCCGGCAGCGGGGCTCCGAGGAGCCTCGCTCCGGGCTCACTGTGTGACGTTATTGCCGCTAACCCCGCTCCGCGGAGACGGCCCGGGGTGAAAATCTGCGCACTTTGCGTCATAAGCTGTGCGGAGGAAACAGCGGCGCTAAACTGAACGGGAAGCCGCGGGAAGAGAGGATGGAAGAGGAAAACACTTACAGTCTGTCCGCTCCGCGCTCCGCGGCGGCCATTTTTATTTAAATAAATAAATTTATATTAAAAAAACTCCAAACATCTCCGCTGTCCTCCGTCAGCAGCGAAACACCGCGAGATCTCAGCCAATAGCAGCCAAGACAATCAACCAGGCGTCGTAATCCCGCGAGATTTTATGTTGGTGACGTCAGGCTGAGGCTTTCAGGGACCTCTCGGAAATTTTCCTTCACTTCCTTCAGAAGTTTGAACAGAGGATCTTTTTATTTCTCCTCCATCTCCTATGGCACGGCTGAACTACTCTACTAAATATTTCTGATCACTAAATATGTCTCCAGTACAAATAGGAGAAATCGCCATGATCTATCGAAACATTGCTAAGTTTTTGATATCACGCCTTGTTGTTTTCAAGCGATGGTGAGCCCGGCAGTATTTGTTTCCCCCAAATTTTTTACGCAAAAACTCCTCATTCAGGATATGTTCTGAAAACTGTAATATTTATTGTCACATTTCCTTCCCTTACCTGCTTATTATTATTACAATTGAAACTTTATTTGCAAACTATACGTTCATTGTTGCACTAATGAAATCAAAACCATAAATAAGATGATAAAAACATTTGTAGTCAAACAAAATGAAAGCAAACAAAAAATAATTACATAAAACAATGGAAAATATTATAATTACCATTATTCAAACGTCATTGGCAGTGTTTATGTCTGTAGTTACATTAATACACATATAGACATTAAAAATATAACATAAATAAATACTTAGCAATTGAAAATGGAAAACATATTTCTACTTCTGTTATTTTGCTGCAGTACCAGATTGAAGCAGCAGGTGGCAGAGTGGCTCAGTGGAGCAGCTGGTAGAACTGGTGATGCCTTGCAGTAAGAAGGTTCTGGGTTCTAATCCCTGCCTGGAGGTTCTTCTGGTGCATGTGTGGGTTCTCTGGCTTCCTCCCAGGCCAGAACTGGGACCGCCTATCTGGCCCCGGATCCGGTTCTGGTCCCGGTTCCGGCCTGTCCAGCCGTGAGGAGCTTGTAGCTCCTCACGGCATGGTGGCCATTCAGGCAGGAAACTGATCTGTGGTTCAGGAGAAGTTCTGTATATCAGCTTCCTGTTGGGTCAGAACTTTCTGGGTCACAGATTCTGTTCGACCAGTTCTGAATGTCAAAGAGCCTGGAGGACGAGGAACTGGACTGGTGCTCATTTACTCATCCTGTGTGTGTGTGTGTGTGTGTGTGTGTGTGTGTGTGTGTGTGTGTGTGTGTGTGTGTGCGTGTGTGTGTGTGTGTGTGTGTGTGTGTGTGTGTGTGTGTGTGTGTGTGTGTGTGTGTGTGTGTTCAGGCGGCTCTGAAACCAGAACCACAGAGGAAGCGGCTATAGACCAGAAGTCCTCACATGATCATATCGACATATTTCTCTAGGGTTCTTTTGGACCCGATCAGAACTGCAGAACCTGGCCCTGGCCAGGAGGACTCAGAGAACCAGAGCCCGGTTCCAGAGAGGCAGCATTCCCATCTGGAGTCCAGGTTCTGGTTCAGACACTAAATCTGTGTTGAGCTCCTCACAAAGATAGCAGAGTGGGCGTGTCTACTGACAGGATATGAGTCACTTCAGTCAAACACAACAGGAAGTCTTCATGCAGCACTTCCTGTAAACGAAATAAAAGCCCCACAATCCCAACAGGAAGGCCAACTCAGAGGTGGCGGTTCTGTTCCAACCCAAACCCAGCAGAGACAGCAGGTCAGGATCCACCGGCTTTCCAAACAGAACCACAGTCTGATGCAGACGGTCAGAACCAAACACGTAGAATCCAGCAGGATCCAGCCCAGAACCGGGTCTTGAGATCAGCTGAGGTTCTGACGTCTGGAACCATCAGGTCCAGAACTGATGGTTCTGTTTGTACTGGAGATGGAAAAGCAGCAGGATCTCACAGAAGTTCTGTTGGTTCTCCTGCCTCTGGTTCTGACCCAGTTACTGCTGTTCTACAAGTTCTATCTGTTTTATTTTAAAGGGCCAGTATCACGTGTGTTCCACTATGTGTGTGTGTGTGTGTGTGTGTGTGTGTGTGTGTGTGTGTGTGAGTGTGTGTGTGAGTGTGTGTGTGAGTGTGTGTGTGAGTCATCCCAACATGGCTCCTCTGTTAACCCTTTAAAACCAGTGTTCCTCTGAGCAGCAGCTCCTATAGTAAGCTCAGCAGATGTCTGCTAATTTCTTCTGGCTAGTCTGCAGGAGGAGAGTCATGGAGGACGGCTGATGTGTGATGCGGAAGCTCTGATACTGCAGCTCAGGGAGGAGCTGCATCTCGAAGGCGGGGCTAAGTCCACCCGAGCGTTTTGGAGCTGAATGGTTGCCATGGAGATTAAAGGATTTCTCAAACACAAACACAAAATAAAACGTGTTGCAAAGCTCAAATACGTCAATTTTACATGATACTGTCCCTTTAATACTATTGAGAACTTCCGGATCAGAACCATCCGGTCCAGATTGTTCACAGAACTTTGCAATATCCTTCCAGCTACTAAGGCCAAAGGTCAGATAGTTTCATTTTGCAGCTGCACTCTGGCCGGATGGAGCAGTTTGGACCTGTGCAGGCGCGTTTTCCGGTACTGGGTTCTACCTGTTCGAACCCGTACATGTTGCGTCTACCTGCGCAGGTGCAAAGCGGGCTTTTATTGTGACTGGTCACACCGGAAGCGGCTCTTGGTGCCTGGCACTTGTGAGCGCCGTGAACGGAAGTTGCCGCAGATCAGAAGTTCTGAAGTTGCTCAGTCCGGAGAGTTACCGGGCTGGTT